TGACGGTTACTAAGGCTGCCGTAGCACAGCATGATTCTGATTCGCTCACAACACGTCGTAGTCGTAGTCGTAGTCGTAGTCGTAGTCGTAGTAGTAGTAGTAGTAGTAGTAGTAGTTGTTGTTGTAGTTGTAATAGTAGTAGTAGTAGTAGTAGTAGTAGTAGTAGTAATAGTAGCACTAGTAGTAGTAGTGGCAGTAGTAGTAGTAGCAGGTAGCAGCAGCGGCAGCAGCAGCAGCAGCACTAGCGGGAAGAGTAACAATAGCAGAAGTAGTATAGAGTAGTGTAGTAGTGGTACTAGTAGCAGTAGTAGTAGCAATAGAATTATTTTTTTGTAGTAGTAGGAGTAGCAGCAGCAGGAGCATTAGTGGTCGTCGTCGTCGTAGTAGTAGTAGTAGGAGCAGCAGTAGTAGTAGCAGCAGCAGCAGTAGTAGTAAAAGCAGCAGCAGCAGCAGCCATGTGGCGGTGGTGGCGGTTGCACTGGCAGTGGTCTTGATGGTGGTGGTGGTGGTGGTGGTGGTGGTGGTGGTGGTGGTGGTGGTGGTGGTGTCGTTGGTGATGGTGGTGGTGGTGGTAATAGTAGTTGAAGTGTAGTGTAGTAGTAATCGTAGTAATGGTAGTAGTGGTAGTAGTACCAGTAGTAGTAGTAGTAGTAGTAGTAGTAGTAGTAAGCAGCATTACCAGTACCAGTACCAGTACCAGAGTAGTTATTGATATTTTGGTGAGACCGCATTGACCGTGCCTAGGGGTGAGGCTTAGGGGCGACAGGAGTTTAGGGGTTCAGGGTTTGGGGGTTATAGGAGTTTAAGGGTTTGGGGGTTATAGGAGTTTAAGGACTTATAAGGGTTTATAACGATTGGGTGTTCAGGATGGTTTAGGTGTGAGGGGTTCAAGGGTTTAGGGGTTTTGATGTGTTACGGTAGTCGGCTGGAATGCTACCATCTGAACTGTTCCCAACTCTGAGCAAGGCACCTCTATAGTTGTTGAAAGGGTTTCTTAAAGGTTAGGTCACACAAACTCTTGAAAGCCCGTAGTGAGCAAGCCCGAAGAATTTTGCAATCAATCCACACCACCGAAAATTCCCTGGGACCCTGCACCCCACGGCTTCAGAATTATGCAGCCCCTCAGCTATCATAAACCTGTACACAACCATACAAAAGCACGACCTTAGAAACTTAATTAATCTTACCCGACACCAATGAACCCCTGAACCCCACAACCCTCATACCCATAACGCCTACAGTCACGAGTCTATGCATCTGGAGGACCTATATCGGCTCCGGAATATTCGAGATCTCTGGTTTGCTTGCATCAAGGCCATTTCGACTGAACTGTGTGGGCGGGGGAGTTTAGAAGTCTTTAGGTTTGGACGTGCTGGGTTCATTTATATATTATAGGCTCTAGCTTTACTCGGGTTTATCGTTTTCAGAATTCCCCTTGTGGTGATAAAGAGGTCACAGCATGTTTGTAAAATTAGGACGGGATTGTGGATGATAGGTCGGGTTTTTTAAGATTGCTAAATTGGCCTATCAAGCTAGCAAAGATTCTTGTGGGCCATAGAAGTCATGGGAGGCTACAAGAGAAACCACAAGGATATCGACGACTATGACGACAACTACTATTGCGAAACATTCATTACAAGACTATACTTCCATCACAGGCATGTATTCTTAAGACAACGACGATTCTACTAGCAGTAGCATAGTGCTGATACATGGAAAACTAGTTGCGAGCAAGGGCAGCAAAGACATATGATTACTGGGCTTACACAAGGCTTAGGTGGGCCAGGGTTTTATTTTGACAAGGTTAGAGGCTTTGATTGATGGCCGATCGAGCCTTGCCAGCATCTGTCGGCTTCTCAGCAACAGCGGACAGCTGGCGTGACAGATTGCTCGGCTTGGCAGGGGAAGGCTGGGTGGATCGACCCCGCTCACCGGACTTCGCACTGGGGTTCTTCTCATTGGGGGTAGACTTCTTCTGAGCTTTGGGATCCGGGGTGAGGCCGCTGCTTGCTGTAGCAGGGGATGACTTCTTCATCTCCGCCAACCTTCGCTTTGCAGCCTTAGCTATGATAACAGCAAGATACAGCTTTACTACTATGCATGACCCAAAGCAGTATGAGCTACATTCTATAGATGGTTCCAGAGAAAGTATAGGAGCCTTCGAAGCAGCAAGTAGCACCCATGGTTTAGACTTATACAGCCCTGGATGTGTAAAGTGTCTCGGGGTAAGAAACTCAACAGCCCTTTCAAGAATCTAGACGAGAGGCCTCCAGGAACTGGGCTCCCGTCAAAGCAGCATTCTTACTCTGCTGCTCTGCTAGAAACGACGAGCCCCGTAGCAAAGTGTCACACGACCACATCTTTGACAAGCCCTGCGAAGGCTCCGAAGGCGCTGGCGTCGTTGTCGTAGAGGCCGACATGTCGGCTGGGAGCAGGAACCTCTATGATCCTGGCAGGATTTCGTTAAAACGGCCTGGGTTTGCGTACCATGTCTACCCAATGCAGTGCAAGCATCATCCACTCGACTGTTCTGGAAGCATAGACTGCATGCTCCGACAACAATACGGATTTTGAGAGCCCATATGAGCGAGTCAATCACACCCTAGCGATCGAATTGACACCTGCAGGTGCGCGGGTGCTGCTGCAGCAACGAATTGATCCATGTACCAGGCACAAGGATCGTGTGAGCTCCGTTCATGTGGCTTTGCAGCTGCTATAAAGTCAGTTGAAACTATAGACACGCCTACGCAGACTGGTGTCAAGAAGCGATTGGAAGCCTTTGGGGATGGATTTTTTCAGCTTTAGGCAGTGACTATTATTCCTGCCACTGTGACCATAATAGGAGTAGGAATCCTACGCTTTTTTACGCCACTTTACGCCTAACCTACGCCTGCCCTACGCCCCAGTGTTGCCACTTATGGTAAACCTACGCCCATTCCTGCCACAGTGACTGGAATACCCATAGGTTTGCTATTCTAGGACTTGTAATTGTTTGCAACGGAAAAAAGCTAGCTAAGACCCAAATCAAACCAGTGACCGAAGTTACTTGGAGGGTAAACCCGGTACATAAAAGCCTTTACCCAGGCTTCTAAGTTGTCTTTCTACTACAGACATGGGACCAGGTTCGGGCTGGGGTTAAAGGCCGGCCTTCTAAGTTGTCTTTGTACTACAGAGATGGGACCGGGTTGGGGCTGGGATGACAGGCCGCACATTTAGACTGTATTTGTACTACAGACATGGGACCGGGTTCGGGTTGGGTTATAAAGAGCATCTGTATTTGTAGGACCAGGTTAGGGCTAGGGTCAAAGGCCGGGCTTCTTAGACTGTATGTGTGCTACAGACATGGGGCCGGGTACAGGCTGGGGTTAAAAAGCGCGGCTTTCAGTTCTGTTTGTACTAGAGACATGGGACCGGGCTCGGGCTGGGGCTAAAGACCTGCAGGGCTTTCGGTTTTATTTGCACTAGAGACATGGGGCCGGGTTTGGGCTGGGGTTAAAGACCATGGCTTTCGGTTCTATTTGCACTAGCCGGGTTGGGGCTGGGGTTAAAGACCAGGGCTTCCTAAATTGTATTTGTACTACAGACCTGAGACGGGGTTCGGACTTGGGTTAAAGGCCGGGCTTCTACATGGTGTTTGTACTACGGACATGGGACCGGGTTCGGGCTGCAATTCTGGAGCTCACACAAGCCCGGATTTTTTCGAGGATTTGGAGGGCTTTAAAGGCATGGATTCACGCCAATCCTCCGAAAGTTGAAGCCCGACACCGCCCCGGAGGTATTTAATAACCTCCCACATCCGAGCATCCAGCCACTTATCTTCGAAGATCTCCTCAGCCTCCCAAAAGACATCTGGTGTCATTGCACAGGGCGGCGGTGCCTGGGCCGAGGCAAAACTGTAGCTTTGGTTTGGGGGAGCATTTTCCGGAAGGTCGGGGGGTGTTCTTTCCAAGGGCTGGCCTCAATGATCTGTTTGGCCGGGGCTTTCTCTTTGTGGAACAGCGGCATGCATTTTGCAAATCGCTGCGCGTAGCCTTGTGGATAGACCCTTAGATGCTTCGATCAGATCTAGACTGATTTACGTAGGTACATCGAAGTGGATGCATGAGAAACTCTGCGATCGATACTCCATGTTATTCATCTGCTAAGGCACTGCGATCCTTTCAGCTTCTCGTTTCCCTGAAACTTGCATACACCGTTCCTGTAGTAGCGGTGCGTCAGCTTCGGAGCATTCTTGACCCTACCAAAGCGAGCGGCCGTGGCAAACTTACGGATAGCTCGGCTGTTCGACCACAAGGTGGTCCGCTTCGGCGTTGTAGCACCCCAAGCCGACATCCAGAAGCTTTGCTTATACACCTTAGCTACCCCCGACTGAAGGATTGAACATACATTTATCTCTCTCTCTCTCTCACTCTCTCTCTCTCTCTCTCTCTCTCTCTCTCTCTCTGTGTGTCTTTCGAAGGGAACCAGCAAAGTGCAACAAACACCCATCCCTTTCATAAATAAATAAACATATAACATACACATATCTATGCGCTCACACTCTTTTTCAAGATGTTATCTGGTCGATGCGAACAGACACCACACACAAACAAGAGATTATAAGTCGACTGCCACATCCAGCTCGGCATCCCATCTTGCAAAAAGACTTGCTACTTGAAGTCTAGGCTCGGTAGCAGACCGCAGAAAGGCCTGGAATCTCGGCAACCGGAAAACTATGGAAGTTGCTGGCTGCTCCAGGACCCACACGCCACCAAGCGCCTCGATCAAGAGCATAGCCATCAATGTCCTGTGCTGGACCAATCAGGATTCCCATTGAACATGTTGCGGACCCCGATGGTGGGGCCCCAATAGCCAGCAAAACAAAGCCCCGAGAAGAACCACAAAATCTTGCAGACAAGAACAGAGGGAGAGAAACAAAGAGAGAGAGAGAGATTCGAACTTGCACCATGAAACAGAGTGAGCCTCAATAATATCACAAAGACATACAACTACAGGGAAATATCAGTACAATAAGAAACAAGCTGCGCCATGCACTGTGCACACAACTTCTGCTACAGTAAGCATTCTATGAATCTAGGCAAACCAGGCTACAGGATTCATGTTGCTTTATGAGGGCACAGTGTCCTCGCAGCAAGGAGATTTCCGTCTCTCACCGAAGCGCTGGCCTTTTCGTTGCCAGTAGGTAGCCAAAAACTGCGGCCGGTGCTGCCGCGACTGACTGACACAAAGCTGCTGCAGACCAAGCCAAACGAGACGACCATAGTTGATGGGTTGGTCCTCATAATCGTTGATATGAGCAACCTCAGCTACTGTATGAGTTTCCATGACACAATGCACACTAATGGGAAGAAGTCCCTCTCTCAAGCTGCAACCTAGATGCGCGAAGCCCGGGGCTGTTCGTAAGTCTAGGGGGTTCCCTTTGCATGTGACAGGTCGTCCCATACACAGTCGTTTTTCCAGATGGCTGGACCAGTGTAGCACGTCCATTGTAGCCGTAGCGTACCCGGCCGATAAAAGTGCCCTAGTCAGCACAGCCTTTCCTGCAAAAACGTCAATGGCGTCATACACCTGGTCTCAAGGGCCCACTGAGCCGAATCAAGCAAACCTGCAAACACTGATTGCCCCTTCCATACCAACCTCATCCCACTGCAAGCCGTCGGTGTGGGCCAGGAGGACGATGGTAACCATGAGAACCTTGAGGCAATGGTTGTGTTGGCCGCAGCAGAATAGGTTTCGGAAAAATAGCAGCAGCAGCAGCAGTTGTAGTANNGTTGTTGTTGTTGTTGTAGCAGTAATAGTAGTAGTACTACTACGAAGACGACAACGACGACGACGACGACGACGACGACGACGACGACGACGACTACTACTACTACTACTACTACTAGTACTGACACTAGACTGATACTAGTGCTAGCAGTACTAGTACCAATAGGAGCAGCAGCAGCAGCAGCAGCAGCAGCAGCAGCAGCAGCAGCAGCAGCAGCAGCTTGAGGAGTAGTAGCACAAGAAGTAGTTGTTACTAGTGGTAGTAGTAGTAGTAGTAGTAGTAATAATAATAATAATAGTACTGGCAGTAGTAGTAGCAGTACTAGTACTAGTACCAGTAC